CTTGTTCTATTATAAAGAATTTTATTGGCCTTTGTCCCTGGTTCCTGGGGACAAAACTAAATCTTTGAAATTTTCCTAGCAATGGGACTGATATCCAGAGTATTGGGATCAAACCTGAGTTTATGCAAACGCAATTACATAAACACAAGAAGAGCTGGAAAGACCAGCCAGGTGACTGGAGATAGGGGCTATGGGCCACCTGATCCCAGTCCTATCTCCTGGAAAGGATGGGGGCTAGGGATTCAGTTCAGGCATGGAACTGATGATTCAATCAATGATGCCCCACAATGAAGTCCCAGTAAAGATTCTGGACCTTGAAGCCCAATGGAGCGTCTTGGTTGGTGCCACACTGATGTGACTGGAGGGTGATGTGCTGGCTCCATGGGAGACGGCACAGAGGCTCCACACTTGGGATCCCCTGGAACCTCACTGTGTCTCTTCATTTGGCTGCTCCTATCTGCACCCTTTATAAACTAAAACTTTAATAGAATAGTGCTGGGAGTGGCGACGGCACACACCTCAGGAGGCTGAGGCAAGAGGATCACAAGTTCCAGGCCAGACTCTGCAACTTGGAAAGACTCCGTCTCAAAATAAAATGAAAACAGCTGGGGACGTGGGTCAGTGATAGAGCACCTCTGGGTTCAATCCACAGTGCTCCAAACAAGAATCAAACAAACAAGCAAACCACAATGAGATACCATTTTATACCTACAAGGATGGCTTTTTTTTTTTTTTAATTAAAGTAAGTGTTGGTGAGGATGTACAAAACTGGAATTCTCATATACTGCTGTTAGCAAGGCAAAGTGTTGCAGCTGTTGTGAAGTATGGTGGTTCACCAAAAAGCTAAGCCTAGAGTTACCATGTGAGCCAGGGATCTCACTTCCACACCCAGGAGAGCTGGAAGTCAGGACCTAATTGCTTCTTATATGTGAATATTCACATAGCACTATTCACAGTAACCAAAAGTTGGAAGCAATCCAACTGTCCATCAACAAATGAATGGATAAGCAAAATGTAGCTATCCAAAGTTATATAGCAAAATGAAGCAATGACACGTGCTATAACAGACCAATAGCCATTCTTGAAAGCCATTCAGAGAAGTCATAGGCCATGTTGTCAGGAGCACTTAACAATTAAAGTACATGTAGGTCCTCCCCTGCACAGGACCAGAAGCATTTTTAATTTTAGAATAATTGAATAGACATTATAATGAGATATCTTGGGGATGGGACCCAAATCCAAATGTAAAATTTGTTTCTGTTTCATGCATACCTTATACACTGAACCTGAAGGTGATCTTATTAATGTTTTTAGTGTACCTGCATTTGGATTGTGACCCATCCTGTGAGGTCAGGTATGGAATTTTCTACCTGTGGCGTCATCATATTGGTGCTCTAAAGGATTTGGATTTGGGATCACTTCAGATTTCTGGATTAGGGATGCTCAACTCGTGACTGAGATATGTAGCTGAGTTCAGCAACTATCACCTGGATTGAAATCAAAGCTGTCTATAAGAACGACATTAACTGCCCTTCTCACCCCCAAGCCGATGTCTGGCTATGCCCTGTAACGAGGGAAAAAATGGATGGTCTGGAAAGCCCTCAGAGCAAAGCTGCGGCAGTGTGAGGAAGCCGAGGAGAGGAGGCAAACCCTGCAGTGTGCCAGCACATACTCTGCATCTCCTCCACCCTAACGCTCGCAGAGCAGAGCCCGCTCCCCTGGAGGTCAGCCTGGCTGTCCTGCCTGAGGCAGTGCGACTTCTTCCAGGACACATACTGGCTCCTTTGCAGCCTACGCTGACAGTCATGCAGAGAAACAGGCTGTCATCTCTATGCAGACAGTGAGTGCATGGAAGCCAGGATCGTAGCTCACTGGTCTTTACGTTTACCTCAGGCTCAGGGACACCATCGACTGTGATCATCTAACATAGACAAAGTATACAGGAAAAGCTGAGTGATGTTTCTCCAATGGGGAGTGTACACAGAAGGACTGAGGCAGGTTTAAAGCCAGGACACCAGGCACAGTAGGTAGGTAGGTACTGAAGATGATTAAATGTGTTCCATAATTTTTTGAAAGGAAAGAAAACGCAAAGACAGAAGCATATGAATTTCTTAAGATCGTCCACAGTTGGTGTAGAAAACCCCAGAAAGCTCTAGTAAACTACTAAGGCAAGCCCACGTAGGGCTGGGCTGAGAATGCAGAGGATTTCCAAGGGTGCAAACACCACGACAGGAACACTGTGTTCTCCCAGGTCTGGAGCCGCCCAGGGACCTGCACAAGCCTGGCAGGGCCACACATTCTCCTCCTCACAACCCTACCCACCAGCTGTCTTTGCTCTTCACTGAAATCACAAGACTTTTTTTTGTTAGATTGAGTAAATCAAGCTGCTTTTCTTTTTTGTGTCTTGTGTTTACTGTGATAATATCACATACAGCAGACAGATAAAGTGTCCTCACATAGGATGAGAGTTCAGACATGACCAGATACTTCCTGTGCCCCCACCTCTGAGGGGCCCCTGTGCTTTCTTATCACAGTGACATGTAGGGTGCTACACATAAGGGCCTCCGTCTTCTGATGCAACCCTTCAACACACCCTGCTGCTCTTGCACCCCATGGATTCCACCCTCTCCATTTCCACTGCTGCTTCCCAGTGAAACAGGAGGTAGAATGAAGAAACTCCAGACACAGGGTAGGACAGGACAGAGAAATGGACATGAAGCAACCTCTTGTGAATCTGAAATGCCCTGCTTTGGGGACAGCCAAGAGCCACATTTTGTTTTACCACTTCCAAACCCTGCATCAATGATGTGGCCTCTGCAGATCCTATCAACCCAGCACAGCAGCAGTTCTGAGGGGGCACAGACTCTGCGGCTAGTCGAGGGGCTCTGCCAAGCCCACCATGGGATTGGCTGCCCTCTGGCCTCCTGGGCTCATCCTTCCTGGCCACAGTGACGTGACAGATGATGGCTATAGACCTCAGGGGCCTTCAGACTGGGTACCCACAAAGCCCATTCCCGTCCCTGTGGAATCCTGGCCACCTCCCTACAGTACCCCTAACTGCAATTTAAATCTCTGGACACGTCTCCATGTAATGCCTTAATGGCATCTGCAACCACAACCACAGCTGGATGGAGGATGGTTTCCTGCATTTTTGTTTACCCCAGAAACTTAACTCATTCCTACTTATGCTTGAGCTCCAACTACACAGCTAAGAATTCCTCTCTAAATCTGAAACATCTGTTTCACCTCCAAAAGACCATCTCACATGAAACCAGGCCTTCCTCCTGACCAGCACACAGCCTTCATCAGCCTCCTCCCTGCTTCTGCAGCTCCACCTGAGCCCTCCCTGCCGGGCCACAGGACCACTGACCCTCTCCCTCCATCTCTGACCTTGTGCCCTGAACAAGAGCTCTGACACAGGGTTCCACTGTTCCCAACTCAGTCACTAGGAGCCCCACCTTGCCCTCAGCCCTCTGCATGCTCATCCTGATATGTCCTATCCCATCCTCTGCTTTGGGGTCCATGGGACAGGTTGGTAGATGGGACATTTGTAAACAGGAAGGGTCCTCTCAAACTACATGGCCACCATCAGAATTAATAGGCAAATCTGTTCTTTTCATCCAAAGTATAGTCTACTTCAACCTGAACACAACTGTGGGACACAACACCATGACAGGGTAGGCATGGGAGCACCCTCAGACCCTACCCACCCAAAGCTCGCATGCTGTTATAAGCTCTCAGGAGAATGATGGGGGAAACTTGGGTACACAGGCCTTGACACACTAGTTTCTCAAAACACACAAATCTAACCTTTACCCAGTGAGTTCAGCTGTCAGTGTGACCAGTGGGGTGGCCTGCTGAGTGGACTAGTTACAACTAGCAACAGCGTGTCTGAGTGCCATGTCTAAAAATGACCCAAGTTAGACCATAACAAAGATGAATGCTGGGCTGGGGCTCAGCGGCACAGCACTTGTCTACAAAATGTGAGGCACTGAACTCCATCCTCAGTACCACATAAAAAATAAATAAAAAGTTATTAAAAAATTCTGTTTTTTTTTTTTTTTAAAGGATGAATGCTTTTCTCCCCTGTATCACAGAGGAAAAAGCTGAACTCAAAAAAGTTTGTGCCTATGTGGACAAATAAAATGAGAATTTGTTTTGAAGCACAGGTTAACTCCTAATGGAAGTGGACAGCCCCCATGAGATATACTGCACCCCCCAAGTGCTGAGGTAGGTAGAGGCCCTGATCTGGGCACACAAGTGACATGCACTGTCACGGGAGGACTGGGACACATGACAGCAACTCAGCAGTCGTGATACAGAGGAACTCTATTCATTTTTAAAGATATGAATGGTATCATGGTTATCTTTTAACAGCTCTTATCTTTTAAAGATACATATTGAAATAAATATTTCAATGATATGACAACAAGGTACTACTACTAAAACTATCAGAGAAAGAAAAAGCCATTACATTGTCCAGCAAAACTGTAGGAAGACAGGTTAAAAGGTGTTTACATCAAATATTCAAATTTCAATTTCTGGAGAAAAGTGGTAAGCCTTTTTCAGAACCCAATGCTAAGTACAAAACCTGAGTAAGCCAGAGTGCATGGACCACACATGTGTACAGTGCAGTATATGCCTAGCACACACATGTGCACAGTGTCTGTACAAATACGATAGGGTGCACACACATGTACAAGCCCGGCACATATGCATTGTGCACATATGCATGATTCACATGCAATACACACTCATACATACAGTGGTGGAGAGCTGCCAGGGCAACTGTCTGCATAGGAGCAGGCTGGCATGGTGTGCAAATCTACATGCCACGAGGCGCATGGATTGAGAACACTAAGGGAACATACAAACAGTGGGCCCCAGAAGCAGCAACCAGTGCAAATGAACAGAGACCCTGTCTTCAGGCAGGAGAGAGAAGAGTCTGCAGGGAGGACAGAAATGCCACCAGCCTAACAGGGCACTTGGGGAGCCTTTACCTGTGTCAACTCCTGGGTTTCCCTCTCAGAGAGAAGTGGCTGATCCCTCTGCAGCTGCAGTTGCCCGCCTTCCTGGCCTCCTGCAGGCAGCTCCCGCTGTGTGGTACAGCCCCTCAGCCTGGGTGCTGGAATGGAAAGCTGAGGTCAGTGGTGACATCTTTCGGAAGACACAAACCACACACAAACATTCAGAGCCTTACAGAGGAACACTGAAGACTGCTCCAGCACTTTGGCCACTTTGGTGGCGCGTGTCCAAGCACGTAACAAGTATCCATCCCCACACCTCTGTTGAGCTGAGCGCCCCACCCAAGACCACTGTTTGGTATCATACTCATGAGATACTCAGGGACTAATTCTGTAACTATCTCTAAAGAAAGGTCATTTATCCAAGAGTGATCAATTTTTCTTTTTTGGTACCAGGGATTGAACCCAAAGCACTTAACCATTGAGCCGTATCTCCAGCCCCATTTTTATATTTTATTTAGAGACAGGGTCTCACTGAGTTGCTTAGAGCCTTGCTAAGTTGTTGAGGCTGGCTTTGAACTTGTGATCCTCCTGCCTCAGCCTCCCAAGTTGCTGGGATTACAGGTGTGTACCACTGCGCCTGGCCAACTTATTTTTTTCTTTGAGTAAAGACTGAAGATTTGGAGTCTAAAACACAAGAACCTTTGAAACCTGGTGAAGTGTACATAAAACACATCACCAGGAAACTTCAGGGACATCTGGGATATTCCACAGAGCAAGTGGTTCCAGAGAGCACAGGAAATGACCAGCTATCAGAGCCAACCGAAACCGCATGTAAGGTTGTGCGGAGGTAGAGGGTGAGTCAGAGCTGCCCTGTGGCCGGGCTTGGCAAGATGTGGCATCTCTGAGGTTTGGAGTACCATGAGCTGCGGGACTCACAGAACACCTGCATATTGGGCAATCTCAATAAAGTCAGGGAGGTGCGCCATAAACAGTGTGAAAGTCCCCATGAAGTGTGGCTCCTGGTGGCTGCTCATAGGGGTGTCACTTGTCCTTTATTTAGAGAATAGCTCCAACTGCAACCCCAGCACTTCACAGGCCAGATAGGAGCTGCAATTGAAGTCCGATCTTTGTTCTTCTCCATAGTTCAAGCCACCCCAGATATGGAGCAGTTGGCCAAGTGGGAGGAAACAGCGCTGGCTAAGCAGCCCTTTCCTTTGGTACAGGAGGGACCTGTGACCTTCATGCCTTCCTCTGAGCTAGACAAGATACAGCAGCCTGGAAGCCACTGCTATACATATCAGAAAAGAACAGGAAAGAACGCACATGGGAAGAGGGTGCCTTGTTGGGCATGAAAGGCAGGAACAAAATGGGTTAGGCTCAATACTTTCCAACAAACTGCACTTCACTGTCCTCTCCAGGAAAGACACTAGGCACCTCCAGCACACATACACAAAATCTCCTCCAGTCTCATTACCTCTTACAATAATCTTTCAAGGTAACCTCCCCTGAGAGTGCCAGACTAAGCACAATTGGCTTCCCCACCAGGATGAATGTGGCTGGGGTTAGAACAGGCATGCAGGAGAACATGGGCGTGGAGCCAAGGGAGGTGAGAGGCACACTCTAGAAAGTCAGGGCCATTAACTAATGACCACTCTGCATGTCTGAGTGGCCAGGTCTCACAAAATAGCACCTTTAGGATCTATCACTTGGATTGGTGCTTTCCTATTCTGTTCTTAAACAACTACAAAAAAAGAAGAGTATTTGCCAAGTGCTAATGTTGCAGATGCTATCTGCAAAGTTCCCCAGTAGCTTCAGGGCCCTGCTAATTAGCACTTCTCTGCAAGAAAACATCCAGGCACTGCCCTGCAGCAGCTAGCAGGGTGGGCAGCTAATGAGGTTGGATGATAGGACAGACACAAAAGATGTGTCTCACAGCTGTCATCAGCTTAAGCAGAGGACAGCAGGGCTGGGGACAAGATTGCAGCATGAAAAGGCTCTGCCAGGTGGGCTGGAGGAAGAACCCATCCCAGACTCAGAGGATCCCCTATTTTCTGCTCAGGTGTCTAGGGCAGTGCAGACCCCTTCAGCTGGCTTGCACTGAGCCATGCACTGTTCTACAGTCCTTGCTTCTCTGTCCACAGTCTTGGTGGCCCTGGGTTGGTATGAGCTCTCCTAAGAGCCTTTCATGTGGGGTCCCAGCTCCAGCACATGCTCTGGGCAGTGGAGCCCTGGTGCTGCTGAGATGTGACTGGGTTTTCATTCAACACCCAAGGCTATAGGGAGATACTGACTGACTGAATTCCAACAGCCAAGACTGGTTCAGCAACCAGAAGGCTGAAGCAGGAGTGTTCTTCCTGATATAACTAATTACCCACAGGTGCATGAAGGGCATGGGGATATTTTCTCTGAGCTGCAGGGTCAGTTAGGACTCAGCTAAGTCACAGGCTCCATCTTCAGGGCTGGTTGCTGACTCAGTCATGGTGTTTTAAAATATCTGAGGAAAAGTATGGTGATCCTGTTGCTATCTCTTCAGTCATTAATAATCTCAGTTAAATAAAAATAGTAAAAATGGCTCTGCCAAAAAGGGGAAAAAAGACAACTGTACCTTCTTGGAATAAGGAGGCCTGAGAAGGTCCTAAGCGAGGTCATGCTGGAAGAGGGAACACAGACACTGGCCCCAGCAATAGCCTCTGCACTGTACCAGGTGGCAGGAAGTCCCCTCATCATGCATCAAAGGCTCAGCTGTACCCTGCGGACTTCCCTTGCAGATGTAACACAGAGCTGTACCTCTGCATAGGCTCAGAGGGAAACCTGCCAGCACGCTATCTGGGCAGACCTTCCCCTGGGTCCAGGCCTTGGTCTCATCTGCACCCGGGGAAATGCCCCTCTACCCAGGCTATGTGGGATGGGACATGGAAAGCTCTGCGAGACATGGGTCAGAGGAACAAAAAATGTGAAGGTGCACACCCATCCGTGTGGGAAGGACAGCACAGGAAGCTGAAACACAAGGAGACAGCAGTTCATGGGACCCCAACAGACACATGTATTTTCAAAGTGATGAAAAAGTATGGCAGAATCAGGCACGGCAGTCTCCAAGGGAGTCGGTGGACCAGGACTAAGAAGCTCCAACAGGCTTCGGGTCACGCAAGAGCACTTCATGCACAGCACATGCTTTCATTCCTCAGGACCCTATCCTGGGATACTTAAGAACTCTGTCATGCATGTTGTACAGCCTGTGTCTCCAAGGACCCTGTCCTGAGACCCCCAAAAGCTCTTTGATGCAGAACACAGTGCTTGCATCCCCAAAGATCCTGACCTGGGACCCCAGGGCTCTGTCATGTATAGCACAGTGCCTGCATCCCCTCAACTGAAGCCAGAACTCCTCTGCCTAGGAAGCCAGCCAAGAGCAACTGACCCTGCAAAGACATAGTCAGTCGTCCACCACTGTGCCTCCTGCTGCCTGGCCTGCCTGGTTCTGGGGACACCATGAGTGACCACAGGCACAAGTGCTGTGGATAGGAAAAGTTCTGGGAGCTTACTTGATCCTGGTTCTGGGAAACCTCTCTGAGCAGGTAGGTGATAGCAGCAAGCAGCTACGACAGAATCTGCTAACAAATGATCCATAGAAAATGCTGTACAAGCTAAGTCATGGGATGTGAGAGGAGGGCACCTCATTGTGTGGCTGCCTTCCAAACCATACCCCAGGCAAACCACAAAAACACATGACACAGACTCTAGCAGGAACCTTGCCAGTCCTACCAGAGGCTATTAAGAGCATTGGGGAGGACTCTGAGGCATCATCAGAGCGGGGAAGCCCAGAAAGTCTAGGATCACAGGCTAGAGGGCTCTAGAGACAGAAGAGGATTTCAGATAAAGACAAGGGTATCCAGTGTCCTGAACTGTAGTGGGAAACACCTATAGGTGCTCCCTGGTTGTAATGAGGAGGCACCTAACAATGGCACAGACAAAGAAATGGGGGATAAAGAATTCTGCACAGATTGAGAGTGAATATCCCTAACCCCAAACCCCAGAATCCAATCACTCCGAGCACAAAGATGACACAAGGCGAAAAATCCCACACCAAGAAAATTTGTTTCTTGTGCAAAATCTATGAAAAATATTGTGTAAAATTACCCTCAGGCTGTGTGTATAATGTTTATGTAAAACATGAATGAATTCCATGTTGCCTGGAGTCCTGGCCTCAAGATATCTCACTATCTATGCAAATATCCCAAAATCTGAAAAATTCAAAATCCAAAACATCTGTGGTCCTTAGCTTTCAGATAAGGGATACTTGGCCTGTACTATCTTCAGATCTTTTCCTGCAAACTAGAAACTATTCTAAACTCTAAAGGCAATTTTGAGGATTCTAAGCAGAAAAGCAGCAATCTACAACTGCACTTCCCTGAGGCAGATGGTGTCCTGTCTTCCCATTCCCCTGGCTCTGCTCCTGAAGTGAGCACTGCATCTCTCCATCTGCCTGAAACATCACTACAGTTCTCTGGAAAACTTCACCCCAGGAACCAGAGGACTGGCTGCGACACTGCGACACTGCCCCCATGTGGTTATATGCACACAGTGCGCCTCCACCAGACTGCACCCAGGGCGAGTCATGGTTTCCACCCCTACTGCCTCAGCTCCGTTCCAGCTCCAAGCAGTAAAAACAAAGAAGACAGATACACAACAGCAGCACATGAAGATGACAGTTCGAGGAAAGCTTCACCCCAGCCTGAGGTCAGGAACACTACTGAGTCCCAGCAACTCTTAGGCTATCTTTCCTACTGAGACTCAGTACATGCTTTCTGCAATGGTACCTGCCAGGACTGGCCCCCATAGCCACCCTGCAAGGTGCGCATACCAAGCCACTGGATGTGAGGAGTGGGGCTGAGAGTGCAGCTCAGTGGAGGAACGCTTGCCTACTACGCAGGAGGTCCTGAGTTCATTGAAACAATGGACAGGAAGGAAGGGAAGAAATGAAGATTGACTTCCTAGAGCATACCCTCCATATCCTCCAGAGAGTCTTCCCAAGAAGTGAAAAATAACTGAGATGGAAACCCTGTGTCATGCCCAATACAGGATCCCTGTGACCGTCTCTTTCCTATGTTCCTTCAACAGAGACTCAATAAATACTAACATGCTGTGGCCAGAAGAGTGTCACAAAGATTTCCTACACCCAGGCCCACAACAGGAACTAGCGAGGGAGGGCAACTGTATCACTGGAGCAGCACTGAAGAGACACCTCATTTTGAAGACATCTGAAGACTCTAGAAAGACAATAAATCCACACAACAGGCACACAGAGGGGCAGGAGAACACAGAGAGACAATAGGGGAAAGAACCCTACTGCTGAATGAATCAAACCACCTATTAGACTTCAAAATTCCCACTGACTGGGAAAACAAAAAACAAAGAACTGGTTAGGATACAACACAAAACTCGTGCAGACACACACCCAGCCACCTCCCATTGCCCACTCCTCTAGGACAGTCACGACCTCCCCAAAGGCCACACCTCCTCCACGAACTCACACACCCAGTCACCTCCCATTGCCCACTCCTCTAGAAGAGTCACCAACTCCCCAAGTGCCACACACCTCCTCCATGTAATCACACACCCAGTCACATCCCCACTACCCACTCCTCTAGAACAGTCCCCAACTCACCAAGTGCCCCACTCCTCATGCAGTCACACACCCAGTCACCTCCCCATTATCCCCTCCTCTAGGACAGTCACCACCTCCCCAAGTGCTCACACCTCCTCTACGAAGTCACAAACCCAGTCACCTCACCATTGTCCCCTCCTTTAGGACAGTCACGACCTACCCAAGTGCCACACCTCCTCCAGGTAGTCACACACCCAGTCACCTTCCCATTGCACACTCCTCTAGGACAGTCCCCACTTCCCTAGGACAGTCCCTACTTCCCTAAGTGCCACACACTTCCTCCATGCAGACAAACACCTAGTCACCTCCCCAAGCACCAGTTCTCCTCCAAGCACTCACACATCCAGTCACCTCCCCTTGCCCATACCTCTAGGATAGTCACTACTCCCCAAGTGCCACACACCTCCTCCTTGAAGTCACATACCCAGTCACCTCCACATTGCCCACACCTCTAGATTAGTCACCACCTCCCCAAGTGCCTCACACCTCCTCCCCGCAGTCACATACCAAGTCACCTCCCCATTGCCCACACTTTTAGGACAGTCACCACCTCCCCAAGTGCCACATCTCCTCCAAGCAGTCACACACCCAGTCACCTCCCTATCGCCCACACCTCTAGGACAGTCACTACTCCCCAAGTGCCACACACCTCCTCCCCACAGTCACACACCCAGGCACCTCCCATTGCCCACACCTCTAGGACAGTCACCACTTTCCCAAGTGCCACACACCTCCTCCCTGCAGTCACACACCCAGTCACCTCCCCATTGCCCACCCCTCTAGGACAGTCACCACATTCCCAAGTGCCACACACCTCCTCCCTGCAGTCATACACCTAGTCACCTCCCCATTGCCCACCCCTCTAGGACAGTCACCACCTCCTCAAGTGCCACATACCTCCTCCCCAGTCACATACCCAGTCACTCCCATTGCCCACTCCTCTAGGGACAGTCACCACCTCCCCAAGTGCCACACAACTCCTCCAAGCAGTCACACACCCAGTCACCTCCCCATTGCCCACAACTCTAGGATAGTCACCACCTCCCCAAGTGCCACACATCTCCTCCAAGCAGTCACACACCCAGTCATCTCCTCACTGCCCACTCCTCAAGGACAGTCACCACTCCCCAAGTGCCACACACCTCTTCCCCATAGTCACACACCCAGTCACCTCCCCATTGCCCACTGCTCTAGGACAGTCACCACCTCCCCAAGTGCCACACACCTCTTCCCTGCAGTCACACACCCAGGCACCTCCCATTGCCCACTCCTCTAGGACAGTCACCACCTCCCCAAGTGCCACATCTCTTCCCCTCAGTCACACACCCAGTCACCTCCCCATTGCCCACACTTCTAGGACAGTCACCACCATCCCAAGTGCCACATATCCTCCAAGTAGTCACACACCCAATCACCTCCCCATGCACATTCCTCTAGGACAGTCATCACTCCCCAAGTGCCACACACCTCCTCCCTATAGTCACACACCCAGTCACCTCCCCATTGCCCACTCCTCAAGGACAGTCACCACCTCCCCAAGTGCCACACACCTCTTCCCCACAGTCACACACCCAGGCACCTCCCCATTGCCCACTCCTCTAGGACAGTCACCACCTTCCCAAGTGCCACATCTCCTCCCCGCAGTCACACACCCAGTCACCTCCCCATTGCCCACACTTCTAGGACAGTCACCACCTTCCCAAGTGCCACACACCTCCTCCAAGCAGTCACACACCCAATCACCTCCCCATTGCACACTCCTCTAGGACAGTCACCACCTCCCCAAGTGCCACACACCTCTTCCCCTCAGTCACACACCCAGTCACCCCCCATTGCCCACACTTCTAGGACAGTCACCACCTCCCCAAGTGCCACACACCTCCTCCAAGCACTCACATATCCAGTCACCTCCCATTGCCCACTCCTCTAGGACAGTCACACTTCCACAAGATGGCACAACTCCTTCATGCAGTCACACACCCAGGACCTCCCACTGCCCACTCCTCTAGGACAGTCACTACCTCACCAAGATGGCAAATCTCTTTGAAGTCCAACAATTCCCCTCTTTTCAGTTTCAGTGTAGAAGGGCAGATCCATGATCCCTCTTGCCCTCAACTCACATCTCAATGGATATTTATGGTTGAGTATTCTTCTTGTGACAATTTTCTTTCTCATACCAAATACCTGTATTCTGTTCTGTGTCGTAGCATGTGATTTTTTACTCGTTTGTCTCCATCTCTCTACGAACCCTTACCCAGTCCCTATGCAGGAATGGCTCAAGAGTTTGGTGGATGAACGCATGTCCAAATATATGTCCTCTCTTGCTGGACTCTTAGGTCATATCTAGTTTAGTGTCATGCTCCGCAATGCCCCATTGTAGAGCATCTGGAGAAAGCTGAAAGCTCATGGCACTGCCATGTTCTCAATGAAAGTATACCTGGTCTCTGGCTTGGCAGATTCATGCCTTGAGCCAGGGGAGGTTGGATGGCTGGGAGGCATGGGGAGGGTGGCCTACCAGCAGAGGTAACTTACGCCAGGTTAGGGCTGTGAGTCCTCATTCTTGAATCAATCTGAGGAGATGAAGAGAGGACAGTGGATGTGGAGTTTCTTTATTCTGAACGACTAGCAATGCCCCTTCCTATGGTTCAGATGTGGAAGGTGTATATGGGGTCACGTGTTCAGAGCTTGGTCTCCTTGTAGTAATGTTGATATGTGCTGGGACTTTAAGGGTTGCAGCCTAGTAGGAAGTCCTTAAGTGATTGGGGTGCTGCCCTCAGAAGGGATTAAAGTAGTTCTTATGAGATCCTAATGAGTTCCTGAAAAATCAAGTTTTTATAAAAGTACAAGCCTGACTTCTGAATCTCTCTGGCTTTCTGTCTTGCCATATGACCTCTCCCTCTTACACATACTCCTAGTACAATATCATCTGCCTCATAGGAGTAGGAGTCATATCATGAGGCCCTCACAAGAGACCAAATAGAAGGGACTGCTCCATTTTAAGGGACTGCCTTAAGCCTCCAAACCCATAAGATAAATGAACTTTTTTTCTTTAATTTGGCATGCAGTTCTAGAGGTTCCCAATCGGAGATCAGGCAATCCCACTGTTTCTGACCCGTGGTGAGGCAGCACATCACGACACAAGCACAAGGAGGAGTAAAACCATTCACCTCATCACAAGCCAGGAAGCAAAAGAGACAGGAAGGGGCTGGGGTCCCTCAATCCCTTCCAAGGGCATATCCCTAATGACCTAAGGACCTTCCACCAGGCCCAACCTCCAAGGAGTTCTACCATCTTTCAATAGTGCCACCCTGGGGACCAAGCCTTCATTCAACACAGGGGTCCTTAGGGGATATCCAAAATCCCACCATGGCGCTGACCAGTTTTGAAATCCACGTGTCTATCGAGTATACAGTATAACTCAACAGTTAAACTTGCAGTGTCCAGACTGAGTAGAGTAGCTAGAAACTGCTTTATGTCTGGGCACAAGGGCTATCTAGTTGGGTCACTTACCTGCATGCCAGAAGGACCAGCTCCTCTCTGTGGAGGAAGAAGCCCCTGTGCTCCTGAGCACAGAGGCCTCTTGCAGCAGCTCAATCTTCTTGTTGAACTGTACTTCTAAAAGGGGAATGACCTCTGGCATCTTGGCAGATATCACTCGATAGGCCACATCTGGTCTGCCAATAAACCGCTGGCGAATGCTGATTTCATAAGGCGAGTGCACCTTAATGTCATCTAGGTCTTCCCTCTCAAACCTGTGTAGGAGCAAAGAGCTGGAGTCATGGATTTCCAACCCAGAAACCAGGATGGTGAGCCTTCCTGGCTTAACATGGAACTCTGTTCTTTGGGAAATAATAGCAGGGATTTTGGCCACGACCCCCTCCTTTCCAAATGGCTCAGAACCAGCCATGGAGGTGCTTTCCCTGGGCTTTACTTCTACTGGTGTCTTCCAAAGCTTGGAGCTGAAAGGCCACCATGAAGGCGATTCCAGTTCTGTCAGCAATCTAAAAGTGAAAAGAAAACACAGAAAACTGAGTTAACCTGCTTTAAAAGAGTAATGATTTTTGTTTGTTAAAAGACTGCTTTAACCTTAGTAAAGCACATTACCATTAATGTTTCTCACAAGCACTTATGAAGCAGAAAGAGCAGAGCTGTTAGCTCCATGATTCACGAGGGGGATGGAGGTTCAGGGCAGTAAGGATACTTGCCTAGAGATACCCAGCTAATCTGTAGTAAGGACATGGCAAATACGCACATCAGATTGTGATATTTCTCTTTCCATAATATTCTGCCTTGACCTGAGGAATTTTGACTCAAAATCAATCCTGATCTCAATTTCTGAGAGCTAAGATAACTTTCAGCAGTGTGGATGCTCTGCACTGTTCAATACAGTAGGAGTCATACATGGCAGATTGTCAACCTGAAGAAAGAAACAAGTTCCAGCTATATAGTGATGCATGTTTAGAGACACATGGTTAAAAACACATGGTAAAAATATGAAAACACAGGTACAGTGAAAACAAAGGATTAGAAATAGATATATCATGCTCAAAGTATGAATGTTAGTTACTAAGGGTGAAGAAGGCACTGCATGATAATAAGAGAATCTATCCAACAGAAACACTTAATATTAAATGTGTATGCATTTAGCAGAACTTTAAAATTAATTAAACAAAAAATTTTAAAAAACCTGACAAGATCAAAAGGAGAAACAATCACTGTTGTAGATGTTTTTTAAATTGGTAAAGTGTCTCTGGGTTTAATCCCCTGTACCAAATAATAATAATAATAATAATAATAATAATAATTCATTAACTTAATTAAATTAAAAAAATAAAAGGTTTGGAAGGACATAAAAAGGATGAGAAGAGAGATGAGGAAGAGATGAAAGATGTCAACTTTAGTGAGACCCTATCTCAAAATAAAAAATAAAAAATAGAAAGGGATGGGGATGTAGCTCAGTGGTACATCCTTGAAGAGCATCCTTGAAGAGCATTGGATTCAATCCCTAGTACCACACACACACACACACACAGTACTCTGTACACAAAGAAATGAAACTAGAAAATCAATAATTAAATGATAACCTCAAAATCCTCAAATATTTGGAAATTAAACACGTGCTGAAGTAATACAGGGATCCAAAAAAGAAAAAAGGAAATTAGACCATATAAAAAGTCAATCAAAACGAAATTAGAACAAAGACAAACTGGTAGGAAGCTAATACAGCAGCTGTTAGATAGAAACGACAGCTCTCAAATCTTCCTGGAAAGGCTGAAGTCAGTGATCTAAGCTTCTATTTCAAAAAGTTTCAAAGCAAAGAATAAACTAAATTCAAGTGAGTAAAAAATAGAAATGCAGAGATCAGTGAAATTGAAAACAGAAAAAAATGAAACACTGACAAAATCAAAATTCAGTTCTTTTAATTTAAAAAATTAATAAATCACTAACAAGAAATGATCAAAGAAAAAAAAGAGAAAATGCAAATTACCAATATTGGGAATGAAAAGGGGAGAAAGATTACCATAGATCTTGAAAGGCTTGTAGATATTATTCCCAACATCAATAAATTAACAACTTATATGAAATGGAAATACTTGAAAAATCAAACATTCTGAAACTAAGGCAAGAAAAAAGTTAAGAATGTATGAATTATACTTGTAATTCCAGCAACTCACCAGGCTGAGGCAGGAGGGTTGCAAGTTCAAGGCCAGCCTGGAAACCTTATCAAGACCTTGTCTCAAAATAAAAAGTGCTAGGGGATATGGCTTAGTGGTAGAGTACTCCTGGGTTCCATCCACAATACTGCTACACAAAAAAAAATATGAATTGCTTTACAAAGAAATTGAATCTGTAATTAAGATCTTGTCATAGCAAAAAATATGATTTAGGTGGTTTAAATAAATAATTCATTAATTTAATTTAATTTAAAAAAAAAGGTTTGGAAGGACATAAAAAGGAAGAGAAGAGAAATGAGGAAGAGAAGAGAGATTCATGGGAGGAGAGACATCTCCCAAGAAGTGTCTGAGGAGTTCCCAAAGGGAGAACTTGACTCAGGACCAGAGGGGTTTTGGGCACAATACGGAAAAGAGTTTCAGAATGTGTCAGTCCAAGGTATAAATGGAGGTGTCTTTAGGAAAGCAGATGCTCTTCAAGGAAGAACAGCCTCAGTCTCAAAAGAGAGATGTCTTTGGGTAAAGCAAGGAACATGCACCCGAGGAAGAGGGCAGGCTCTGCAGAGGGAGAGACACCAACCTATTGGTGCAGGTGTTCATATTTATAGGGGCTGGTGCTTGGGGCTGGACAAGAGGTGGAGGCAGGTGGAGCTGTACAAGTCCATGCCAGTGCATTTCCCTCGTTTTACAAGGGTATGGGCCAGTGCATGTCCCTTGATGTTTCCCACTGTGCTTTCTGTGTCTCAATGGCTCATGGGCGTTTCCTTCAAGACTCAGTATCTCTCTATACACCCTAAATCCCTGTCTCAGTTTCACTGGTGAATTCTGTGAAACACTAAGAAAGAAATAATACCAATTGTATAAGAACAGTGTAAGAGTAAGTGCCCTGTCCTTCATTTCATAAGGCCACATAACTCGTGCGCCAAGCCAATAAGGACCTTGCAAGAAGATAACACAGAATGCATAGAGGTTGGAGATCTCCACAGAGGCAGAAGAGACTTCTACTTGGATCTTTCAGGCTCTTGACACATCCTGAAAAGAATTTAAGGAGAAGTCAGATTCTAGCAGAGGAAAAACTTTGTTAAAAAAGTGAAAGGGCTTGAAGATGCACATTTCTAGAGTAGAATTCGAGCCATCTCAAGAGTGAGGGGTGCCTTTTTTTAGAGGAACATTTGTGAGAAGGAGGCCTTTCTACCTACCTTTTATTTCTTCTCCATTTTACCTCATCACCAATAGGTCTTATAAATACAGAAGCAAAATTCCTTATGAAAATATCAGCAACTCACATCTGACAATGTTAAGAGAGAAACAGATGAGGATAGTAGGAACTCGAGGCTGAGAATGATTCTATAATTTGGCTCACTATGCTGACTCCTGCATGCTTTCTTTGCCTGCAACCTTGCCTGGCCTAAGTGGACAGGATATGTCATGTTCCTCAGCAAACTGGGGCAGGGGCAAAGGTAAGGCAGTCAGTGAAGATAATGAAGGATGGAGGTCCAGAGAGAAAGGATAATGCTTGGTTATCAAAGAAAGAACAACATGTTGCTAACAGTTAACCTTCACACCTCTGCTCTCAGTCCCCTATACAGAGAAGAAAGAGAAGACAATCATTAAAAAGCAGAGTCTATAAGAAAGGAAGTTGCACCCCCACCCCCAGGGGATTCCAGCTCTGCAGCCCCACTTCCCTTCAAAGGAGTCTGTCTATATCACTTTCTTATATAAAACTCACTCTCTACGCTTGCCTCCTTGTCTCTCCAGGGTGTGACCTTCAACACCGGGGAGCAAGAACATCTGCAGTGAACTGTATCAATGAAATAGACGGTATAATAAAACTTAAGAACGCGGTATTCATCTCAGGAAGATGATGTTGGAAACTAATCTATGTAATTCATCTTACCAGTAGAGAAACAGGATAACTCTATGATCACCATAACAGATGGAAAAAAAAACCCTCAAGAAATTCATCACTCAACCATATTAAAACTTCCAGAAAGTTAGAAAGAGAAGGAAACTATTCAGTTGGATCAAATATAACTAACAACATGCCTGATGTTAACAAAGGATCAGAAACAGTAAAAACCGGGAAGATTTCTAAACGTATTCAAGCTTTGAAAGCATTCCCCAAGTGTGATATAGTGAAATATATTTGGTCTTCCTCCCCTAATCAGACATCCAGCTCCTAAGGTCCTTGAAATCTCTGAAGTGATATGTCTTGCCCACTGCTGAGCCCACTGCTGACTGGCAGCCCAGGCAGCTTCAGGATGGGACTGGTCCCTGAAAGACCAAGGCAGGGTCAACCTCCAGGGAAGAGAGAGGGGCTGCGGGCTAAGTGGATCACCAGTGGCCAGTGATTTAATCTGTCACACCCATGGAAAGAAACCTCCATAAACCCCCAAAAGCACAGGGTTCTGAGAGCCTGGTGGCTGGACCTGTGGAGGTTCCTGGAGTGTGCAGGTGAGATGGGGCAAAGGCCAGGTAGCTAATTATCAAAGAAAAGGAAATGGGTAGACAGCACTCCCCATCACCTGGCTGCTAATAACCTCTGGGGGAGGGGAAGGAATCATAAGCAATCACCCCCTAAAGGGCTCTCTTCCTGCCCTTCTGGTCATTTTTGGTCACATAGGCAAGGTGGGTAAAGAAGACATGAGAAGAAATGAAACCTGAAATCTATAAAAGGTGCAAAACACTCCCACTCTCTTGGGCATCAGTTCTGGACCCCCTCCTTTCTGGAGGAGTCTCTCTCTCTCTCTCCCCCCCTCTTCTCTCTCCCCTCTTTCTGTTTTATTTCTTAAATAAAATTTACTTTCTGCTCTTGCCTCGGCTTTCCTCCGGGGGTTTATTCAATACCAGGGGAACAAGGACCCAGTCCTGAATTTCAAGACAGGTTTCAGAGGGCATGAAGCCTCTTCTCCTACCTCACTGATGCGTCTCTTCATCTGCATCCTTTGTAATATCCTATGATAAACCAGTAACTGTAAGGAAGTATTTCCCTCTGCTTTGTGAACCACTTGAGCAAATTAATCCAATCCAGGGAGGGTTGCAGGAATCCCGGTTTATGCCAGTTGGTGAAAGCACAGTTAGGAGAGCATGGCTGGCATCTGAGGTAGGGGCTACCTTGGGGACTGAGCCCTCAATCTGTGGGATCAACTTCCAGACAGACTCAGAACTGAATTGAGTAGAATACACTCAGCTGGTGTTCACTAAAGAACTCCCTACTTGCTGGGTGGGTGGGGGGGAGGGAGGGGACAGGCCACACATCTGGTTTCAGAAGCAGTCTATACTGTAAGAGTATAAGAGAAACTGAGTCTGTTTTTCTCCCCTTCAGGTAT